ATAATGGCCAAGTGGCGCCTCCTCATTGGAGGGGAGCCGAGGCCCCATGTGTATCATGTGGGGCATCGGCTCCCCTCCAATGAGGAAATGCCACTTGGTCATTATGTCACCCCTTGTGTAATGGGTGATATACAAGTAGCATTATTCTATATATATACTGACAAACACGTTTGAGGTCTTTTAGCTAATTTTTGCAGATAGAATAGAGTCTTGGACCTTATCGAGGACAATCTGGGTTAGTTAAAGTTTTTGAATATTGAGTTATGATGTATGGAGGAGAAAAAAATTAAGGATTTCTATGGTATGAATTTCATAATTTTCAGTCATGGGAAGACTGCAAAATGATTTATTTTCAGTGAATAACGCTACTCAAACAAGGGTAGGGATAGGTGGTAGCACCTATGTGCAGTGGTGGACCCAGCCTCAAAGTTCAGCACGGGCAGACGTTAACCGATCAACGTCGACAGTCAACGATCATAAGAGCGAGTTCGATTATTAAACACACTAAAACAAGTCTTGTTCCCCGAATTTAGGTGGTTTTAACTAAATGAATCCAATTTTCACCACCTGTTCGGTAATTGATTGCAAAACTTAATGCAATATTCAAAGAAACATCTGGACTAAATCACATAAATCATGTTACCATCACTTCAAAAACTATATCATGTCTGTTTGGGTTCCATTTTCTCTACTCAGCTCAGTTCATTTCTAGATTTACTGAAAGACTTAAACTTGACTATATCTACTTTATCCTTTCCTATTCTGACTTCTTCTACAGAGATCTAGCAAAAAACACAAAATATTTATGTAAGAGAATCTGATATGTTATAACAATCAAGAAGTAATTAAGCAAAAAATAGCAAAATTTACATATATCACAAATCAAGTAATCCATAAAAATTCATCAATCAAACAAAATAAGCACAAAAAAAGAGCAAAACACAGAACCAAATATACCCTCTGAACGTGGATTCTGAAAATATGTAATTCCTGAAGATCCACTTCCATGTAATCCAATTGATCCTTGCAATAATGGCATCTCATTCCCATTTCGATTAACATTAATTTCACAATTATTATTATCTCCACAAGAATTTTTCTCCGTATCAAATTTTTCTTTCACCACTCGTCCATTTTTCAACTTCTCAAATCTCTTCATTTTCGCCTCTATCTGCCTCGTTGACTGCAACGCCTTCCTCTTCCTCAGCTCCTCCTCTGCCTCGATCGGCAGCGAACAGACTAAGCCACAAGAATTTCGTTTCGCCATCGTCACTCGTCTCCCCCTCTCTGAACCACAGGAATGGTTAATTGAATTTGGTTAAATTAGTTTTGTTGTGTGTGCTAATGGATTATGGACTTACAAGTTTCAATTGCAAACAAAACCAGTTAGTTGGGTTGGGCCTTTTTTTTAAGTAAGGCCCAAAAAAAATGAAAACATAAGAAAGTGGGGGAAAAAATTTCAGCTGCTCTTCTTCAGTTCTTCCTCTTCCCGGCGGACGGCAACTCTGCAGCAGGAACTTGCAGCTTCCTGCGGACCCAGCACTNAACATGTTTGTGTAGGATGATTGATTTTCAATTTCACGGACAACTAAAACGTAAGTGGATTTTATAATTTATTGGGATTATGTAAGGGACTACTTGGAAACTGAATGGCAGTATTTTTTTTCAAGTGAATATGAAGTGTTATTTATGCTAATTTGTACAATTCTTATTATCTATAATTATTTTCATGTTGAATTCTTGCATCAAGGAAAAATGAGGTTACATAAATTTTCAAATTGTCATCTTTAGCCCTTATTTGACAATCATTAAAATAAGGTTTTTTTTTTCTCAAACTCATTTTTAATCACACATTTTTACAATAAAATATTCTGCACATAAATTCAAAAAATTTTCCTACTTTTTAATCACATGTTATTCAAAAATCACTATTTCAAAACTAACTTTCACCAAAAAAAAAAAAATGTATTTTAGTGGTTGTCGAACAGGGATTTAATGGTTGAATTGAAGTTATTTTCTACTATGTAAACCCCAACCCCAACCCATGGTCAACTTGTCTCAAGAATATTTACCTACATAAATTCCATGTCGATTACTAACTTTTACATGTATAAAATTAGACAAAATTTTGACTTACCAAAACCAAATATGCAAAAGTAGAAATAAGAAATGCATGAAGATGAATTCGATCGAGGTAAGAGTTTTGACATATCTTTTTTCCTTAAGACGATAATGTCCCGCATGGGTGTCAATGGTTTTTCGACATTTGTCTCCCAAGTGTATAATAATAACATACCGTAATAGTACTCCAAATTATGTCGACCGGTGAACATACTAATGATTTGAAATCTATTTATATGAACTCCACTTAAAATTAATGTGAAAATTATTTTGAAATGAATATGAATTAATGTGATAATGCAAGGATGAAATAAATGAATGAGAATTTCAACCGAATGGAGTCTATATATAGTTGCTAGAAAGTTGAGTTTCAAAAGACACAACCTTAAACAAGATACACTTACTGAAAAATAAAGATTTCAAAAGCAATGATATTTCATATGAAAAGACACTTCTTTTCAGTTGAATATATTCTAGAATATTTAGTAATATTCTGCTAAATTTTTCAACCATATTAAGTGTTTAAACTACTTAAATTTGGTTTGATTTCTCATTCACCGACTAACGATTTTCACTTCAATTACCATTCAAAAATTGGTCAAAACTAATTTTCAATACAAATTTCCAACACTGTCTGTGTCACATTTGGTCATTTATTTTGTCGTCTGTCTACTACAATGTGGCAAATATTTGCTCTACATTTTCAGTTCAAGAAAATTAAGAAAAGTCTTGAGGAAAACTGCATTTTGCAAAACCATGAAATTCATATTTTCAAAGTGCAAGCATACGTTTTCAAGATAGAAGTTGATTTTCATATATCACCGCAAGAACCTTCAAGAGAGAGTGGAATAATCAGTACAAACCAAGACTCGGACCTTAACTCTACATACGGTCATTGATCCACAAACCGGATCTCTCAAATCAGTCTACACTACACAAATCAGCAACCTCACAACCGCAAAACATGCGTAGGTTTACCGGTTAATTTTGAGTTCAAATGAAACTCGAAATTAAACCTAAAACACTGAACACAATATAAAATTACACTCAATAACCAGGGCTCAGTTCTGATTTAACTATACAAAACAGCATATTAATACAACTCCAAGATTCTAAAGAAACCCAGAATCGTCTCACATAGAGAAATAGTTGAAACCGTATGAAAGGCCAGAAAAAAAAAAGTGACGGTACGGTAGTCACAGATGAAATACATGCATAAATCCTCAGTCTTAGATCAAATCCAACGGCCCAAGTAAGTTCCAAACAAAAACAAATCCGGGTGAAAGACAACAATAGGCCAATAAAATCACGCCAAGTGGTCAGACCAAGTAAAAAACGCATTATCGCTTTCAAAACCGGGCTTTAGAACCACAACTCACACTGAAATTCAAATTTTTATATAACTCTAGACAAACTGAAACATTAGCCTAGGTTTTGAAATTGAAATGTTCGTTTTCTCGCAATGAATTCTTGTGGTGGTCCAAGAATTGAGATTAAAATGACTATTTCCTGCTTCAAACAAGTGTCGTTATACATGGTATTAATGCAGGAAATCGAGCTTGCGTACAGGAAAATTTTATACTAGTCAAGTTAAATTACAAACTTTTCATGTACAAGATTGATGGGATGGTGTTGGTCTAAGCACTCGATGATGGTGATGATATTTTGGAAGACCAACAAATGGTTTGACGTTTATCAAATTAAAATAAAATTCTGTTTTTTATTGTTGCAACGTTACTGTTTTAAATTGCTACATATTTTAGAATATAAATTTTACTTGTATATTTTCACTTTGCAACAGATTGTGTTTACCCTTTGAGTTTAGTTTAAATTAAACATAATGTTCGTGCGAAATACGTAAGTGTACGGGATTGTTGACATGCAATAATTTAATAAGTAAAAATGTCATATCAAGAGGAATAATGTTTAAATAGAATAATACTAATCTGTTATCAAATTCGAATATAAAGTAACACAAACGATTTAGGTGTTTATTTCTAAATTAATTTAAAAATTATCTAAAAATATTTTTACTTAATATATGTGAATGAATGTATTATTCCAAATCTATCTATTGTTACCCTTTTTTCAATTATCGGCCTCTATAATTTAGTGTAATTTGTATATCTCGACAATCGATAATCTAATTTTATCTAATTATATTTTATGAGGTAAGTTAAACATATTTTAAGTATCCGGTCATATTCCTATTTCGAATTCATGTGTAAAGTAACGTATTTAATTACACAATTATCTAGGTAATTGCATACTCCATACACATTATTTCTAACATCTATTGATAGTGTGTTGAAATTGTTGACCCCAAAAAACGCAACATAAATGTGGACAATAGATGTCGGGTCCCCTCACGCCAATTCAAGCAAATTCCGATGCGTTTTGACCGGACAACCGTTGAAAGAAGAAGAACACGTGAACGCGGGAGATGCTTTATGAAGCAAGACAAAAATATTCGAGTACCGATAATAGTGATTAGAATGATTGTACTAATAAACAATCACCAACAATAATGTAAATAACTGAAGATTAAACTAACATAGGGATGGCAACATGGCGGATATGAGATTGGTCGGCCATTCTCATCCCTGTTCCGTTAGGTATTTTTGTTACCTTACCCCACCTCCGTATCCAGTTGAAACTGGTTCGGGGCGAGATCTGGGTCGAGCGGAGCATGTCCCTTTCCCCATTTATCGCCCCATTTATTTTTTTTGTTTGTTTTTGTTATTTATTTATTTTATTTTTTGCTTTTATTTTTTTTCATGTCTTTAGTTAATAAATATTATTATTTTTTTACTAATTTGTTAAAAAAAACTTATGTTCTCTTTAAAAATGATGATAAATTTATTATTTTTGTTCGATAAAAAACTTAAATTTGAAATTAACTTTAAACGGGGCCCTTATCCATTTCGGGATAATGACCCTGGCCTTGTCCCCGCCTCGTTTACCCGGTTAGGCGAGTAATCCCGGCCCCATTCGGGGCGAGGCCCCACGGATCGGGTTGAACGGATTTTTTTGTCATTCCTAAACTAACAAATATAGAACAAGCAAGAGGTGTTCTTGAGGGTATTTTGTCTTGAGTATTTTCTTGTATATATCAGTATTCAAATGACTATCCTTCATAAAAAAAAAAATCATTTACCATTTACAAAGACCGCATATTTATATTATTCTGGCAGATGTGGCATCCATTGGATCAAAACTGCATGGCTTCATCTCTGAGACTGAAGCCTAACGTCACTAAGTCTATCATACAATAAATATATTGACTCAGGTTAGTCGCCATATATATTAGACTGACACACCTGACATTCTTTATTACAAGCGTTACATCAATCATTCTTAAAGATTGTCTACAAATCTTGTAAGAGATAGCTTCAGATTCAGGGACTTCGTATAAACTAAAGGCTTCTGTCGAAGGGAACTTCGTATTGGTCCTCCATGTGAAGAGCTTCGGCTCTTCATTAATTTCTTATGTAACTCTTCAGCTTACAGCTTCAGCTCATGAATTTCAGCCTTTGTTTGACTTCTTTGCTTTTGACTACTTGAGTTTTTGTTGACTTTCTCTTCCACATGAACTGCGACATGGTACTTTGACTGGAGTCTCGATGGCGAGCTATAACAAAAATTACAAAATTCTAACATATTATAAACATCCCGAAACTGTAACAAACAACTAATTATCTAAATGGTGCCATAAGCATTTAAATAATGCAACAAAGCATACAATTTCAATTTAAAAAAAATTAACTAACTTGTTGGTCTTTGAATTAAAAATAACAAAGAAAATCTAGCCCAACATATTTCTTATGTTATTACAAGAATAATAAGGAAAAGACATCACTTGCAATGTGTATGAATGCAACAAATATGTGGAATCAATCTCTTGTTGCGAATCTTGAATTTCAAGCCTTGATTCTTCATCTTTTTTGATATAATGTGCCTTGAATTCTTTGTTAGGTTTGATCTTCTATATCAAAAGATGATTAATTAACCATTTGTTCTTAAAAGACTTTATGATATGATTTGAATTAAGAGGCTAGCAATTGCAACAGCTAAACAGGAGGGATGTGTTGGCCAAAAAATGTGCGATCGGACCCTATATTTTGCAAAAAAATTACAGTTTGGTCC